ATCAGAAGTAAAGGATAGTTACAAAACAAATTTGAGTTACGATCCCACTGAGAAGCATTAAAATGTGCCAAATCCCAAAGATCATCCCACAATCTATCCAAGCGGCAAATAAATCGATTCTCACAAGCGAATCTTCCATTCGTCCCGGTGAAAATTCTAAATTGATGAAGCTTTTGAAGGGAATGAAGTTTCTCCATATTTGGGGAAATGATTCTAAATTTGACTAATTTATTCATTCTAGTAGACAACATCAAAGAGAATGATAATTTTGATTACAATTTCTCTATACTCTTCCCATTTATCCTCGTTATGGAAGGTTAATATTTCCAATAAGGTCAAATTATTTGCTTGAAAAGCTTTGTATGGCGTGTTAACACTATGTATTGGATTTAGAGGTATTCCCCGATGTTGTTGGGGTCGTGGTGCATCCTCTGTAGGAAGGCGTCCAAGGATTTGAGCCACACCCTTTGAAGTTGTTAGTTTGTYTGGCTCGATTTGAGACTTTTGAAGTTAGTTGGGCTCGTAACAGGGATTGTTGCCTTATGTTTGAGGAGGTTTTGTTTCGCTCTCCCTTGAGAGAGAAGGAAATGTTCTTCGGAGGGCTGGTTTTTTGGCAGTGTTATGGTGTATTTGGATTGACGGGAATAATAGAATCTTTAGTGAGGGGAGAGGTCTTGGACGGAAGTCTGGTTGTTGGTTAGGTTTATGCTTCGGTGGGTGTTGGTTTGAGGGATTTTGTAATTATTCGCCAGGTCTTATTATTTTGGATCGGAGTTATTTCTTGTTTCATTAGGCTAGTTTATGCTCCTTGTTGGGTTGTTGTTTTTATAGACCCACCTTTTTTGGTCTGTTTGTYGGCTCGYTGGTGGGCCATTCTTTCATTTTTCTCAATGATCAAGAAAGTAAACATGACATTAGTTTCTTTGCCAAAAAAGAAAAAAAATGGAGAGCTAACACCATGTCCTACTTGAACACTTGGCCACAAAACCCCAATCCCATCCCTGGCTTATTATCATATGCCATCAATTTGTCTCTAAATCCTCACTTGTATCCGTCACAATCCATGCTTGAGTATCGGATTGTTTCACCAACCATGATTTTTCTGCCATTTTCTTCTCTTTGAATTTGTGTAACAGACTTCACCTGTTTCTTCTTTTTGAGGTTTATTGATTTCTAAAGTTTCCTATAAAAAAAAAAAAAGAATTTGTGTAACAGACTTCATAAAGGTTGCATGATGGTGTTGTTTTTTCTTTTGTTCATTGTCACAATCTATGCTTGAGTATTGGATCATGACACTAAGCATGAGTTTTCTACCCTTTCCTCTCTTCAATATTCCACAAAAGACGATGAAGTTTGCTTAATGGTTTTGTTCGTCTCTATGATTCTTCATCTAACCTTGTCTAAGTTCTTATTAGGTCTGGGTAGGAACTTGAATATCCATTTTTTCTTAGTGGATTTTATTATATCCGGCAACATTCGGAATGAAAGCCAATTTAATTCTCTCACACATCTCCAAGCATTTCTAGGATTCAATAAGGTGCAATATTGGGAGGAATGAGACGGTCTTTAAAGAGAAATATAATAGTCAGGATCTTTGCATTCATCTGGTGTTATCTTTCTAAAACCCTTCTATAATTATGATATTGTTCATATGATGCTGTTAGACCCCCAATTACTAGGACTTATTCTAGAAGGGGCAATAGGGAAATTATACTTACGAGGGGAGAGAATGATTGTAACGATTAAGAGAGAGAAAGTGGGCTTGGGCTGTAAGAAAGGAAGGTTGGGGATTGGGTAAATGTATTCCCCTAGTGAGTAGGAGAGGGCAGCTTGTATTTCAGTGTAGAAAGGATAGTGAGGAGAGCGACCCACCCTTTCGAACTAGTGGGGTATCTTTGTATTGCCTACGGGCTCAATTCAGTAAATTCCAAGAAGAATTGTGAGGAGTTACCTCACAAATTGGTATAAGAGTAATATGAGATTGGGAAATTGTTTCGACGATGACGGTCAAGGAACTTGAGGCACGCTGGAAGCCACAGAGAAGGAGATTTCCGACATTAAAAGTGCGATCACCACTCTGTGTGGAAAAGTCGACGAACAGAGGTCGATGAGCAAACAGATTCAAATGATGCTAGAAGGCTTTATGTTGGAGATAATCGGCGACAAATCTCCGTCGATTTCGCAACTGGGAGAGTCGTCGRTGTTGAAGAATAAGCAAATAGGGGAATCGTCGAGGATCATTCAGATTCAGGAACCAAGATACGATTGAAACAAATTTAAGAAGGTGGAGATGCCGATCTTCCTAGGTAAGGACCCTAACTCTTGGTTATTCCGCGTTGAACAATATTTTGAAATTCACAAACTATCTGATGATGAGAAAATGATTGTGTCGGTCATAAGTTTCAATGGAGTTGCTTTGACATGGTATCGATACCATGAAAACAGGGATCGTTTTACCGATTGGGACAATTTGAAGACTTGACTCCTCGATAGGTTTCGAAAATCGAAAGAAGGCCGCCAATGCGCCAAGCTACTGGCGATTAAGCAGGAAGGCATGGTCGCAGAGTATCAAGAGACCTTTGAGGCGTTGTCGGCTCCCCTGCCCCAACTACCCGACGAGGTACTCGAAAACGCATTCCTAAATGGACTGGACCCTGTGATCTGAGCTGAAGTTTTGGCCACTGAGCCCAAAGGATTGGACCAAATAATGCGAAGGGCCCAATAGGTAGAAGACATCGCCACTGCGGTTCAGGAGGCGGGAGAAGGAACCATGGACYGAAACCTAAAAGTCAATTCCATAAGAGGGAAGGTCGTGGCGAAGGTTTCCGTCCCTGAAACAACTTCGACCCGTACCGTGACTTTGACCAGCAAAYCGGGGTTAACAATGGCAGCCAATGCGGYGCCGACAGTCCGAAAAGAAGCACCTTACAAACGTTTGTCTGAAGAAGAGTATCGGAAACGACGGGAGAAGGGCCTTTGCTTCAAGTGCGATGAAAAGTACACCGCGGGACATCGGTGTAAGAATCAGCAGCTTCGGGTGTTTATGGTTCACGATGATGAACTATTGACGTTGGAGGAGGAAGACCGAATGGAAGAAGTAGGAGAAACATCCGGGGAAATAGGAAAAGCGGTCATGTGCCGTCTCAATATGGTGGTCGGCCTTACCACATCGGGAATGATTAAAATAAAGGGAGTGATGTAGGGTAGAGATGTGGTGGTCCTCCTAGACTGTGGAGCCCCTCATAATTTTATTTCTCAGAAACTGGTAGATGAGCTGAAGATTGTTCAATCGGACACCTATAACTACGGCATAATAGCAGGGACAGGAGCTGACGTTAAAGGAAAGGGCATCTGTTGTGGGGTAGTGTTGGAATTGCCCTAAGTCACAGTGGTAGAGGATTTCCTACCTATTGAGCTCAACGATTTAGATGTCATACTTGGGATGAAATGGCTGCAAGCTATGGGCAAAATGGAGACCGATTGGCCTGCTTTGACAATGACTTTTACGAGGGGAGATAAGAGGATTGTTTTGAAGGGGGATCCGACCCTCACCCGAATGGAAGTATCCTTGAAAAGAATGGCTCATGGGAAGCATCTGACTTGGGATTCTTAGTGGAATTACGAGCATTGACTACAGAGGAAGACATACTAGAGATAGAGCTCAGGGAAGGCGGGAATGACACCCCCTGTAATGCAAGACTTGCTAGAGGAGTATAAGGATGTATTTCAGAGCTTTGATTACCTGCCGCCCCCTAGGGCAATTGATCACAGAATCCAGTTGAAGGAAGGAGAATCGCCTGTTAATGTGAGGCCCTACCGCTACGCTCAGGTTCAAAAGACAGAAATTGAGAATATGATTGCGGAAATGATCACCAAGGGGATCATTCAATCGAGCATTAGTCCATACTCCAGCYCGGTAATCCTTGTCAAGAAAAAATACAGGAGTTGGCGATTTTGCGTGGACTATAGAGCACTAAATCAGGTGACCGTCCCTGATAAATTCCCTATTCCGGTAATTGAAGAATTATTGTACGAGCTCCATGGATCTAGCATCTACTCCAAGATTGATCTGAAGTCCGGCTACCATCAGATTARAATAGCACCAGGGGATGTCCCAAAAACTGGAACTCATGAGGGACACTATGAATTCTTGGTCATGCCCTTCGGGCTCACCAACGCCCCTGCCACCTTCCAGTCACTGATGAATCACATTTTCCGCCCGTACTTGCGTAAGTTTGTACTCGTTTTCTTTGATGACATATTGATTTATAGTTTGGATTTGCATACTCATGTAAACCACCTCACTGTGGTCTTCAATGTCTTGCGAGATAACGCCYTCTGTGCTAACTTTAAGAAATGCCACTTTGCGCAATCCAAGA